TATTGAGCAGGCTTTAATTCCAGTTAGATAGCTGTTATTACCCCCTAGATAAAGTGCCACTGCTGCACCAATGTAGTTTGTTATGCTGGTCATTGTTATAGTTATTAAGTTTTAAAACTGAAGTTGGACCATTGATTGATTTTCTCCCTTAGCAGCTCGCATAGCAGCCTTCAAAACTGTGAGAGCTAGTCCTCAGGGAGGAGGCTTCCAGGTTAGTTCCAGCTCCATTTGAGTATTTACATTTGCAAGACACTATGTTACTCCTTCATCATTATCTATTTAGAACTTCACAGTTGTCTTCTAATAAGCATGATTATCATTCCCACTTTATATCAGCTCATAAGACTGCAACTTATGAAGGCCAACTATCCTGCCAAAAGCCACACATAGGAATGGATAAGAGAGCTAAAGGAAATTAGTTTTTATAAAATTTCAGATTTTAAAGCCAATGGATTTCCCTTTGGCCAAATGATAGAGAAAAATTGTAAGACAACGTGTCTTTATTTAGAAAATTTGAAAAAATGTTGTATTAGAAGGAAAATTATTAGAGACAATAATGATTAATGAAAATTATTTTATAATCCACAGATCTAGACTTTAATTCTGACCCAGCTACCCCTTGGCTCTGTTGTGATTTAACAACTTCCCATAGTTTGTTGCTGTCTGAAGGAAGGAGCTCTGAAGACTTCAGGAATCAAGCAGCCCCAGAGCTTGCACATTCTCATTCACCATTAGTCTGATTTTCTTGAATAGTCTTAACAAAAATCAGTATCTAATTACTTTGGGTAGTTCAATATCAAGTACAAGTACTCATTTAACAATTTCTTCTTTAATCATTTAAGATCTTTCCCAAGCATCACTAAGATTAGAAATTCAGAGTTTTTAGAAATTTTAAAACTATGGAGAGATCAGACATTTTGTTAATGAAATAAAAACACTGAATTACTTAAGAAAATTATTTGTTCTGGAATATATACTAATCTACCTGCATTGCTCACTGTAGTGATCATATGAATATATATAACATTTTCCAACATTTTCTATTTTTTGTACCTTTTCATCTTACTCTAGGGATATTTCCTATGATTATGTTTACTTGCAGATTTACATTAAAGTTTTGTGTGTGTGTGTGTGTGTGTGTGTGTGTGTGTGTGTGTGTTTGTGCTCTGAGGATGGAATTCAGGGTCTTGCACATGCCAGGCAAGTGCTCTGTCCACTGACCTACATCTCCATTCCCTAGGTACAATTTGATACTAGAGGATGCCACCACCTCGGGTGGTGTTGATACTTGGGAGAGATTCTGCCACCTGGGTAGAACTGGCAACAGGTTCACCTGGCAGAATCAGGCCAAGTTTTTGTGGAACATGACATGGGGGGTCCCAACATGTCATCAGAGACAGTAGTGAAACTCTTTTATATCAGTGCGAGTCAGTGGATGCCCAGAAGTGGACATGACTGGAAGAGGCCAAGGCAGAAGTCAGGAAATAATAAATACCTTGACAGGAAATGTTTGTGATCCCAGAACAACTCATAAATGGTCTCAAAAATAAGTATGGGAATGAAGTAAGTTCATACTTTGTTGTAGGGAAAAGATTCAGTAAATATGAGTTGTCATTATTAAACACGACCCAATTTTAAATCCATGGTTTACTGACAAGGTTATTTATGCTCACCAATGTGTGTGTATACTTTACCCACAAATGTCTTTAATCTTTATAACAGTGTAAGTGCAGCTTGTTATTCAGAACCCTTGAGCATTTTTCTCAAAGGCAGTGGCCTTGAGCTTTGCTTTTTGTTTTTGCCTTTTTCTATTTTTTTTTTTTAAACCTTTCTCTTAATAATGTCTCTTTTCTCATGTCTGCTTCTGAGCCAAGAAGAGGAAAACCCTTGGCACGGTCACTTTTGTCTTTTCCTTCTTCCTGCTTTCCCTACTCATCACCCCATTCCCTTTTCCATCCACATTCTTGTTCCTAACAAGTCTTTTCCTAATGTCCTTGTCATCTCCTCCTTTCAGCATCCTACTAACGTTAACATTATCAAAGCAACAACGACAACAACAAAATAAATAGAGTGGGTGTAGTGAATTGTATTATGACCCAGAAAGATATCTCATCCAACTCATGCACCCTATCTCTTGGTACATCAGAATATAACCTTAATTAGGATAAAGATTTTTGTAAATACAATAAAGGTAAGAATATAAAGATGCAGACAGTATGGATTAGTGCATGCCCTAAATCTAATGACTAGTGTCCTTATAAGAGACAGAAAGGGGCCAGAGAAATGGCTCAGTGGGTAAAGGTGCTTGCTGCACAAACCTGATGTCCTAAGTTCAGTCTCCAGAACTGACTCTGCAAAGTTGTCTTCTGACCTCCACATGTACTCTGTGGCATGTATGTGTTTTCCCCATAATAAAAGTAAATAAATAAAAAATTAAGAGACAGAAAAGACAGAAACAGATATTGGAATTCTGTAGCCACAAGATAAGAATACTAGAGTCTACCAGAAACTAGAAAAGGTAGGAATGATTTTTCTCCTAGAGACTTCAGAAACTGTGGAACCGTACTAGCACCTCCAGAGCTATGAGAGAAACATTTCATCCAAGTCACCATGTTTGTAGTAATTTGATCTCAGGTAATAGGAAACTATATGGACCACAGCAACTTTCATTTCATGATTGGTGAAGTTTATAAAATAAGAAAAGTTTCTTTCTTTATTTATTTCTTTATTTCCTACCTTTTTGATGTCTAAATCCACAGATGGCCTTTAACAAGACTTCCCCTACCCCTAATGTCTTGATTTAGTAAGTTTTCATGATTGAACCCCTCCCCTCATTTCCTGTCTATAAATCCATGCTTGCCCTTGCTATTCACAGTTGAACTCAATTCTCTCCAATTATAGTGGTTTTAAATAAAGTTTTCTTAACTGATTTAAAAAGTCTTTGAATGATGTTTTTGTTGTCTGTCTTCTCACCAGAGTGAACAACCCCTTATCTTCTTAGGACTCTGAGCTAACAACCACTATTTTGGGAATACATTAGCCAGAATGGAATTAGTGGTTTTGGAGTTGAATTTTCCATTTTTATGGCAAGATTATGAGTTCATTATGTGCTATTTTCACATAAGCATAAGTAGAATCAGGGATAGTTGTACTTAGAGATTAAGTCAGTAGGAAAACAACACCATACTCAAAGATGCTAACTGAAAACTGAAATCCAGGGGAGCTATTTAAAATTAAGATGTCTAGAAATGGAAGCACAATGAGGGATGTGTGAAGGCATATGTAAGGAAATCAATTGTCCTAGTGACAATCTGCAGTGAGGACCAAAACCTGTAATATTTGTCTAGTGCTAGTAATATTTGTCTAGTAGATGTCACTGTGCTTCCAGTAAGGTGACATTGTGCTAATTTCTGCACCAATTAGTTTTGCATAGGTGTTCATTTAAAAAATGCTTTATTATTATTATTACTTTTAAAAAATATTTTATTATTTTTATTTTTTATGTGTATGTGTGTATTGCCTGCATGTAGGTAAGTGCACCGGAGATGTGCAATGCCTGCAGAGGTCAGAAGAGTCTGTTGGATCCCCTGGGACTGGAGTTATGGACAGTTGTTAGCTGTCATGTGGGTGCTGGGATTCAAACCTGGGTC